ATCTTTGACTATTTTATCCTTTCGAGTTTCTAACTCATAAAACTTTAATCTGTATAGTTGTAGTAACATTGAACCACAAGATGCATTTTGAAGGTTTCTGGCTTCAATGTACTAAATGTGCGCTCGACGTAAGTTGATACTTGTGGAGCCCAAGGGCGCTTTCTTCGCCATTCAACAATTTTATCCACACCCGTTATTGTCTCTAAGCCTACGTTAGCTGAGAAAACGAATTTGAATTTTTCCAGCACCAATATGGCAAGAGGTCCCTGCGCTTCTATAAGCCGCATGGGCATGTGTATATTTTTAATCTTAAAAAAAAAATGTAAATGCTATAATCACTTTTTTAAAGTTAGAAAAGGCAGAAAAAGGCAAATATCTTAAAAAAGGCAAAAGAAAAGGCAAATATCTTAAAAAAGGCAAAAAAAAAAGGCAACATCAAATGTGTATGTATGGAATCAGGGAAAGCTAAATCGTGGACATTCTTTATCGAATATACTTTATCTCTTTAGCAGAAAAAAGGCAATTTCCATAAAATCCGTTCCCTGTTGATGACACATGTACAAGTATTCTCTAAAATATGGATTGCTTTAGTTTTGTTCAACCATGTATGCATTCAGATCTCATACGTGGTGGATTCCATATCAGTTCATCACACACATTTTCATGACTTGATATTGATTTGGGTGTACTTTTTATATTTACTACTTCTTCTTCTTCTTATTTGGCGCTGTAACCGCCTAAGCGATTTTGGCCGAGTTCAGCAAAGCACGCCAGTCGTTTCTCCTCTGTGCCAACTGACGTCAATTGGAAACGCCAAGTGAAGCCAAGTCCTCCTCCACCTGATCTTTTCATCGCAGTGCGGGCCTCCCTCTTCCTCTGCCACCACCGGCGGGTTCCGAGTTGAATACTTTCAGAGCTGGAGCGTCGGTGTCCATTCGAACGACNGTCCATATCGTTGTAAAGCTCATACAGCTCATCGTTCCATCGTCTGCGGTACTCGCCGTCGCCAACGCGTAAAGGCCCATAAATCTTCCGCAAAAATTTTCTCCCGAACACTCCAAGAGCCGCCTCATCGGGTGTTGTCATTGTCCATGCTTCTGCGCCATGTACCAGCACGGGCATGATGGGTGACTTATAGAGCGTGGTTTTCGTATGTCGAGTGAGGACTTAACTCCTGAATTGGATTTCCATGCTGAATTATTATCGGTGTTAATGCTAGTTCCCAAGTAAATGAAATTCTCTTTCTCGAAATTGTAACTGTCAACAGTAGCGTGGGTGNACTGTTTGTTTGATGACAGGAGATACTTCGTCTTGTCCTCGTTTACCACCAGACCCATGCGCTTTGCTTCCCTATCCAACTTGGAAAAGGCAGAACAGACTTCGCGGTTTTTGTTACCGATGATGTCGATGTCATCGGTATAAGCCAACAATTGCACGCTCTTGTAGTAAATTGTTCCTGAGCGGTTCAGTTCTGCAGCTCTTATTATCTTCTCCAACATCAGATTAAAGAAGTCACATTAAAGGGAGTCGGCCAGCCTGAAACCCCGTTTAGTGGCGAACGGATCGGAGAGGTCCTTCCCTATTCTGATGGAGCTGGTGGTATTTCTCAACGTCATTTAACACAGCCGTATGAGATTTGAGGGGATGCCAAATTCAGACATAGCGGCGTATAGGCCACTCCTTTTAGTGTTGTCAAAGCGGCTTTAAAGTCGACAAATAGTTGGAGAGTGTCGATCCTTTTCTCGCGGGTCATTTCCAAGATTTGGTGTATTGTGAATACCTGGTCTATGGTTTGATTTGCTAGGTCTAAAGCCACACTGATAAGGTCCAATCAGTTCGTTGACGGTGGGCTTCAGTTTTTCGCACAATACACTCGATAAGACCTTGTAACCTATGCTTAGAAGGCTGATCCCGTGGTAGTTGGCGCGAATAGTGGGGTCACCTTTCTTGTGTATTGGGCAGAACACACTTAAATTCCAGTCGTCGTTCATCTGACCATATTTTGCACAAGAGTTGATGCATGCATCTTATCAACTCCTCGCCGCCATACTTGAATAGCTCAGCTGGCAGGCTGTCAGCTGCAGCAGCTTTGTTGTTTTTCAGCCGCGTTATTGCTATTTGTCATAGTCAGGCGGTGGAACGTCGACTCCGTCGNTTTTGCACAAGAGTTGATGCATGCATCTTATCAACTCCTCGCCGCCGTACTTGAATAGCTCAGCTGGCAGGCTGTCAGCTGCAGCAGCTTTGTTGTTTTTCAGCCGCGTTATTGCTATTTGTCAAAGTCAGGCGGTGGAACGTCGACTCCGTCGTTATCGACTGCGGGCTCGGGTTCTTGTTCTCCACAACTTTCTGTGCTGCAACCATTTAGTAGGGCGCAAAAGTGTTCCCTCCATAATTTAAGTACGCTCTGGACTTCGGTTACTAGGTCGCCATTGATTTTCTTACAGGAGTACGCCCTGTATATTTACTACTTTAGTAGTATTAGGCAACTTCACCGAATATTTTTTGAAAATTTATCGTTTTAGAAAGTTTTGTTTTAACAGCCGGTTTCACCGGCAAATTAAATGGAAAATTATTTTTTATTTTCTGTCCAATTCCATATAAAATTCAAGAATTAAAATCATTTTTCCCGGATCCCGGGATTTAGATATTCATTACTTTTCAACAACTTGAATCGAAAAAATTGCTTCTATGTATATTGTTTGAGAAGCTCTCCTACCATGAAATAAATAATAATAAATGTGTTTGAGACCTAGTTTTTAATTTAAACTGGCGTTTTTATTTTTTCTCTCAAATGTCAAGGATAAAATTTTAAAAGGACATTTTCAATACTTACCAGCCCTTCTGCACCAGAAAATTGAATCTGTTTAATTTTACAGGATGTCTTCATTAATTTTGTACCCATACTTCTTCTCTAAGCACATTTCCCTGAATTTTTAAAATCATTTTAGAATTACTGACCTCAGACTGAAAAACTATAACGGCAAATTTTACTTTATTTGCCCCATAGTTTCGCGAATATATTGATATTTGTGTTTGTTGAAGTTTACTATCGCGCGGTGTTATATGTATAATGAGCTAGACATTTATAAAAAAAATATTAATTATTAAATAAAAAAGAAATATAGCCAATACTGGTCAAGAAAAGGAGTTTCTATTAATGCCATCAGTGCAAATTACAAATCCCGAAAATCCCCGGATTACTTGCCAAGAATGCCGGGATTTTCGAGACCTTAAAAAGTCCGGCATCCCGGGATCCCTGTTTTAACATTCCTAATCTCGACCCTGCCACTACCTAACGAGTCCATTTTTGGCAAAAATGTTTATTTTTTCGCGAGAATCGCCCATATGTCGATTTGCCACAGAAAAATATGGTTATCTATAAACCTATTCCGCTATATTACTCAAAAACATGAAATTTTGGATTGTGCCCTGATTTGCCACCNTTGGCAAAAATGTTTATTTTTTCGCGAGAATCGCCCATATGTCGATTTGCTACAGAAAAATATGGTTATTTATAAACTTATTCCGCTATATTACTTAAAAACATGAAATTTTGGGTTATGCCCTGATCGGCCACCGATATATGCATACATCAATACGTATCACATCGTTGCGAATTTTTTTTTTGTATTGCCTTCACTAAGCGCCCATTCACTTTTTCCGAAATACGAGCCTAAAAATTTAAAAGTTGACATGCAATATTTTATATCTAAATATTAATTTTGAATAGATCATTGCCAAATTTAAGTTCGAAAAAATGCATCATTATGCGGACCGTGTGTACAATNTTTTTTTTTTGTATTGCCTTCACTAAGCGTCCATTCACTTTTTCCGAAATACGAGCCTAAAAATTTAAAAGTTGACATGCAATATTTTATATCTAAATATTAATTTTGAATAGATCATTGCCAAATTTAAGTTCGAAAAAATGCATCATTATGCGGACCGTGTGTACAATAAGTCGAACCCTATAATTTAGATGCTATTGTTTGATCCATTTATTTATGTATTTCCAACTGAAATATTTGTTAAATAGGTGATTTGTTGGGCGGCAGATTGGATTTGTAATATCTTTTATGCTCTACGCATTGTTATTGTAATCATTAAAAATAATGCAAATTTTTGGGTTATTGTTATTATGATTTNATAAGTCGAACCCTATAATTTAGATGCTATTGTTTGATCCATTTATTTATATATTTCCAACTGAAATATTTGTTAAATAGGTGATTTGTTGGGCGGCAGATTGGATTTGTAATACCTTTTATGCTCTACGCATTGTTATTGTAATCATTAAAAAGTATGCAAATTTTTGGGTTATTGTTATTATGATTGTATGTTTAACAATGCTTGGTGGCTTAATGCGTGTTGCATATGTTTACGAAGTGGTAAATGCTTTATTTAGCCTGAGAAGCCAAACAGAAGAGGACTGTCACTTTGGTGTGACATTCAATTTACTGCTCGCTCATCCCAGCGCATCAACCAAATAACCTAACAAATGGAAAATGTTTAAGTATTCATATATTTAATGAATATTGGCGACTATGTTGGTGATTAGTATAAAAAGCAAGAAGTGGCTGCGGTTGATCAACAGTCAAACTCGAGTGGTCTTTACCTTAAGACAACAATTCACCTAACCTAACTTAGCATCAATTTAAGCATCACTATGAAGATCTTTGTGGTACGTGATTAAAAAATATATATGTATGTTTGAAGTGCTACAGTTTTTAAAAGTGTATTAAAATATGTAAAAATGCTGAAGGTTTTAAAATTGAGTGTAGAGTTTATATTATGAAGAGAAAAATAATACAGTACATAGTAAGATGCCAAACTTTGACACATAATTATAAAGAGTGAAGAGCGTGATCGAGCCAAAAAAAAAACACTTACATTTTGCATAAAATTAATTCCATTTGAAAAGACCTTACATGACTGAGTTCAAACCATAGCCAACTTACGAGAATTTTTTCTAAAACATTAGTGGATGACGAACTTCGGTTCCGTTTAATCGACTTTTTACTTATAACCAAAGTTAAAACTTAAAAAAAAGCAAAATAATAGCAAATCGGTGCTGAAATTTTGAATTTAAAATATACGCGTATACGTGCATATGTACATATCGTCACCTGAGTGGAAGATCGAAGTTAAAACTAAAAAAAAATGCAAAATAATAGCAAATCGGTGCTTAATTTTGAATTTAAAATATACGTGTATACGTGCATATGTACATATCGTCACCTGAGTGGAAGATCGACCTATCTTGGCAGCCAGTTCCAAAACGCCCTGTCTCAGAAAACTTTTCAAGAATGCCCTACATCAGAATTTGATTGAATAACCCCCTATTTCAGAATTTTATTGAAAAACGTCATACCTCAGCTGCCGATTCTTGAAAAGTTTTCTCAGATAGGGCGTTTTCGAGCTGGCTGCCCGGATAGTTCGATCTTCCACTCAGGTGTCGATATGTAGTTAGTATGAAAATATTTATGATCCTTACAATCAAATTAGCAAGCAAACTGATAGATCTGCTGACTTTTTTTTCCCTATACAGCCTCTTTCGCTGGCATTGGCAACACTGGCATCCGCCGACATTTCTCTACATAACGGCTACAATAACAATAATCAATGGCAGCATCCACCCTACAACCCTGGTTTCCAACAACCGCTAATCATGCACTTGCTGCAACAACAAATGCCAGGCAGTATTGGCAATCCGATGCAAATCACCCAGCCGAGTCAGCAATATTTACCCATGCTACAACAACAAAGGCAACCATTAACCGCACTGCAGCCATTGTATCCCGTGCCACCACAAAAGCTTGCACCCCTACCCATGCCAGCCAATTTCCCTGCACCAGCTGGCTTCCGATTGCCACTCGCACCAATTAGTATCGCCAAACAACAACGCCGTTCACGTCAACGTGTCAAGGTCGCTAAGAAACCTATAGTGACTAAAAGTTTCTTCATACACACAGCACCTGAAGATAACGAAGATGAGTTACGCGAAGAATTGAACCATTTAGCCGCACAACCACGCAAACATTACAATGTTCTATTTGTGAAAACACCAGCACAGACCAGCAAGGTTGCTGCTGTAAATCTGGCCAAGGCACTCAAAGAGGAGAAAACTGTTGTCTATGTGCTGGCGAAGAAGACTTCTGCTACCGATTTACAAGAGGCCATTCAGGAGGAACCGCAGCAGATTAACAAACCCGAAGTGTTCTTCATCAAGTATCGCACACCTGAGGAAGCCGCCAATGCACAGCGTCAAATTCAATCGCAATATGACAGTTTAGGCGGCACTTCCACCATTACCGATGAGGGTTTAGCGCCGGTAACTTCAGTTGTGGGTTCGCTCGATGCGCCAGAGGAGGAAGAGGACGAAGAAGAGCAACAATTGGGTCAGCAACCGTTGATTCAGCAGCAGCAGGATACGGCTGCGCAATACGAGGATCAACCTTCGAATGCCATCAATCCGGCTGCCCCTCAGTACTTACCACCAGCGAAACAGTAATAAAGATCTCCATTTTGTCAACGAATGCTTAATGTTATTTTTTATGAATTTGTTGTTGCCTACCACTTAGTATACGAAAATATTTACAGAGTTCAAGAATCAGCAACAATGCTCGATTGTTATTTTAGATTTAAGTCAACATATGCATTAGATCATTAAATTAAAACTTTCAAACAAAATACGCTCTTATATTACACATTAAATACATACATAAAATATGAAAATGTTACCTACACATCAATCTTTTTTATAGTTGTTAGCGAATTAAAGTCTTACCCACGAGTCCTGCGAAAGGTATACAACGATGTATCACAAATGGTTTAGGGATTTTATCTAGCCGTTAATTTGAAACCAAAACATCTAAAATCACAAACAATTTTACTGTAATAGACCGCCTAAGCACCTCAAAGAGAAAATAATTTACTTTCAAACTTTTTTCTTCATGTTAAATTAGCTGATAAAACCTGATCCGAAGACGACTAGTTCGTTAACTTGTATGAGTTATTTGCAGAACTTTCCACTTCGACAACTACGAGCAACTTTTATCATCTAGCCGAGCCTTGCGAACTTGCCCAACAGATCCTTGGAAGTTCTTTTAGATCTCACACCTCTTCAAATTGATGTGTGTACAGACTCAGGTGAACTTGGCTATACTAATGGTGACGGGTACCAACATCGTCGCAGCAGGATTTCTTAGTAGTATTAGTAGAAGCAGTGCCCTGAACACTGATGGTTCATTGACTGAAGGGTGTACCGGGATAGGTATAATTGAACTGAGGGTGAATTTCTCGAAATCTATATAACATATGTAAATTTTTAAGGCGGAAACTTAATATCAAGTGGAACTACCGAAATCAGAACAGTGCGATCTTGCACTAAGGCCCTCATCACGTGACCTCTAAATTGGGGATGGAGTGCCTTGACAAGCTGAATACTCTTGGTTTCACCAATCGACTTTAGTTCCTCTGGACTCCGGAACATATTGGTATTGAAGAGAACGAGAAACCGAAAAACTTACGAAGAAATGAGCATAAACCCCTTCAATTGGCCGAGAGGCCTCCTGTGACGTAGGAAAGGCGGCACTCTCTACCCTGGTCCGGCTGGAGGATGAGGCTCCAGGGCATTTCAAATCAATTTTGGGCACACGTAATCCATAAACCCTTATATAATTATTATTTAAGAATTATTACAGGAATTCTGACAGGGCACTGCAGGCTGAACTATCACCTGCAGCGATGTAGATTTTGCAGAACGGCTGTCAAAACTGCACGGCGCCCGTCCGGCACTGATGCGCAAACGCAAAAGACACTTGGTTAAATATTTAATAACCGAGGGCATAGTGAAATCCAGAGACCTAGGCTCAATACCAAAGTTTCCCTCGGATGTTGTGTTAACAAACACTATAAATCCACAAAGGGGGCACAATCGATCTTGAGGTCGCAGTGCTTTACCCCAAAAATAATAAGAATTGAAATTTAAAAACTATTATGAAATTATGCGAAGGCTGACCAGCTGCCGACTAGGAGGTGCTGAGTCATAGAAGCACAATTAACAAACTATTTAATTGATTTGCACAAAAAAAAACTAGTTTAAAGGTAGTTTAGACACTGCTTGGATATTACACAGTCTATTTGGATCTCTTCAAGTAACTACTCCTAGATATTGACTTTGGAAAGCGATGTTCATGGGAATCTATACATTTTACACTGCAGTTTGCCTTTGAGGAGCTTTTCTTACACATTTTGGTAAAATTATTAATCCCTTAGAAACGCAGTATCATAGTCAGAGGTGGGCACTGTCACAAGGAAGTGGGAATGTGTTAGTCTTCCTAATTACTTTCAAATTAACGAAATGTTTTCCATCTATAAGCAGTGACCAGTATCGCCTCCTCTAGTCGACGTCTTAAATATTTGTGCTCTATAATGTTGTCCAGTTCTGTATTCAAGGCAAATAAATCTTAAAACCGAGCAGACGAGGTTCCGTAATCAAATTGCCCTTGGGTAACAAAGTCAGCATTGAAACCTGGGAGAATATGAACACGAGCCCTTAGTAGAAGACGACGGATTCGATATCCCAAAACGTGACAATGATGAGGAACGAATGGCTGCTGAAAAACTATAAAGCTGTTAGAGCTCACGGCCTGCTATCTGAGCTAGCAGCTTACCTAGATGAGATTAAAATGTTACTCATACGCCATGTACTTACTTTCAATTTTAACGTTTCCGTAAATAAATGGGTCATCCAATTTGGATCCACCATTTTGAATTTTTTTAATTTGATTTCAGATTCATAATCAGCGACTTTAAAAAACCCCAATTGCAAAGTTTTAAACGAATCCAATCAATTTTGATTGTTTTTATCCGCCATATTGGGTCCGCCATTTCGAATGTTTCCAATCTTATTTCTGATTCGTAATCAGCGACCCATATGCCCCCCGAGTAACGAATTCTAAGTGAATCCGATAAATTCTATAAAAATCTTCCGCCATATTGGATCCGCCATTTTGAATATCGAAATTCGGATGCCACATTCGTGATCAGCGACCCTAAAGGGATTGGAATCCGTCTTGATCAAATAACTCACAACTATTTTAACAAACTGAATGACAAATTTATTTACGCTTTTATGGACATGGCGTCTTCTAGGGGTCGCAGCATTTACGTAATACTGAATTTTCAATTCTCCAACGGTTTGTTTGATGCATTATAAATTCGCTAGTCTTTTGGCATGATTTACGTTAATTTTTATCTCATAGAATTTTGAACAGAGCTTTGGTCCGTTTGACATGGAACGTCCCATATATATGCGAATAAGTGAATACAGCACTGCGGACAACTATGCTAATTTACCAAACTTTGCTTTGTCACGGCAGGTCTTACCTTCGCTTGCATAAGTGTCAATGACGAGCTAATGATAAGTTCTCCGCAAGGGTTCCCGACTTTCCGTATATTAAATGCATTTTACAATAGATATAAGGCATAGCTCTAATTTTAGTATAAAAACTGAACTGTTTTCGTTATCAGGTAGTTACTCGCACACCACGCAATGTGTCAACACAAAACAATCGGTTTACTACTTCTCCAAGTCGCCCTCCTCGCAGTGGTTCGCGGTCGCACTATTACCAAGGACGAGGATGAAGTTATCTATCCGCCGCAATCGAATCCTCGCATAGTGGGCGGTGAAGCGGCACCCGAGGGATTCGCACCATACCAAATTTCCATGCAGAACCTTAAGGGTCGTCACTTCTGTGGTGGTGCTATTATCGATCCGCGTTGGATCATTACTGCCTCACATTGTGTTTCAGGAGCATCAGCTACAAAATTACAAATTTTCACAGGTGCACAAAATCTTAAAAACAACACTGGCAAATACTACTATCCCGATCGCATTGTGATGCACACAAGCTACAATCATCCACCATACGCCAACGATATTGCACTGTTGCATTTGAATGACACGATCGTGTTTGATGAACACACCCAGGCGGTAAAGTATGGTTATGAGTCATTGAAAAAAGATGACGAACTCGTGCTTACCGGTTGGGGTACAATGGCGTTGGGTGGGTCCATACCGGATATTTTGCAGACGCTGACTGTACGTGTGGTGCCATATGAGGAATGCCGCAAGTCACATCCAGACAATCTATCCAACTATGTTGATGTAGGACATCTGTGTACTTTCAATGATAACGGTAAAGGCGCTTGTCATGGCGATTCAGGCGGTCCTTTGGTGCACAATGGCACCTTGGTGGCGTTAGTCAATTGGGGCTTGCCCTGTGCGAAGGGATACCCAGATGTGCATGCAAGTGTGGCATACTATCATGATTTTATACGCACACATTTGAGTGCCGCAACAGAGGCGACGGAGTGAAAAGTTGTGGAGCAGATGTGTAATTGAGCGGTGCAGTTATAAAAATAAGTGCTGTATATAAATAAAAAAAACTAATATTATTGCAGATAAATAAATGTGAGGCGATTTAATTAACTTAACACAATTTGTTAAAAAAATTGTATCTATTTACTTTTTAAATGAGCAAACCGTTACGTCAATATGTATGTATAAATAGAAAGTACCTCATCCCACATCGTCGCTGAAACATAAAAAGTCGTAACTGACTAAAAATCCAAAATTCACCTTTTAAATGATTACGATGCCTTTCATTAAATTATAAGTTTTTTCTATATTAAGCTAACGAAACGCTTGTACTTTATATAAATGTGACCAGATAATCACAAATCGAAAATGGGCAAAATTTACTTTACGAAAGGTTATAAAAAGTTAAAAGGCAGTGAAAAAAACTAGTTTAAAAAGCGGCTTTGCTCTGAAAAATTCAACGCCACTTCTACAAATTCAAGTGAGCGGTACCCATTAAATAGGCGAAAGATGGGGTACATTTTTACGAAATATTTTATGATGACGCTATACCAATTTAACCTTCCACCAGACACACAGCGACAAGCTGACCCCAATTCTTCCTCTATTTTCTAATAAAGTTTCTAAATGTAAGATCTTACTTAAACACCCCTGCCTAAACGGGTTTATGAAAAAGAGCTCCTAATTTTGCCGACTTCTTTTATAACAGAAATAACATAGTTGCATACGTTTTGCTGTAAGAATTCACGAAAATTCAAAGTTCCAAAAAATTATGTAATTTTTGCATTGCTATGTATAAACGCGTTGATGAAAATTACTCATAAAAAGTTAACATTGAAAACCCAAAAAAAAGGCCACGAAGCTAGGCCTAAAATTTGGAGGATAGAACAAAAATATTGTTACGATTATCCTTGAATACTTGACGGATTACCCAAAATCTCTTCGGTTCGTATCGCTGGATTGTTAAAAAAGCACACAATATGACCACATTATAGTACACTTACCTTAATTGTACAACAAACACTTGACAAACCTGGTCACACTGCTGTTTAGTATAGTCGATATTTGCAAGGTAAAAATGTTCGACGCCAAGAGGTATGCAATATTTAAATAGGTTTTTATACTTCATTCATTCATACTTGATTCATTAACTTCTTCCTCTTCTTTCTTTCGATTCACAAGGACTAATAGGTAATATTTTAAGCTGATAAAGTTAGCAAGACGAATTCTAGTATGTTATCGAGTTTATATAAGTCCGTAACATATAATTTTTTCCAAAAATAAATATTGCATTATTTCAAGGATACTCAAGGATAAAATTTTAAAAGGACATTTTCAATTTTCCTTATGCAACAAAAAATTTAATCTATTTATATTCTACAAAAATGTCTATTTAATTTCATACGCACACTCTTTCTCATATTTTTTAAATCATTTCTTTATTACTGACATTTGAAACCTAAAAAACCAAAGTAAGTTTATTACTATGTGCCGCATTGGATTTTCAACTAAACCGCGATAAGAATATAAAACACCATTCCAGCAATGATTGCAAGTACTACCTATGGCATACACTGAATAGAAAATCATTCTTATATTTTTTGGCAAATTCTAAAAATACTGCTTCTTTATTTTTTGTTTTCAGTACACAACTTAATGTAGTATAAAAAATTGGGTTTACATATTCGCTTCTGCATTAAAGTAGATCATTATAGTTTTTATCACACACATGTACTTACATATTGGCATATGTACGAGTATGCAAGCTTTTAAATCAATCCTGAAGAATTAAATTGTAACCTAAATAGTTGATCATTGTTGGCTTTTATCCACCCACACCTGCTTCTCCAACACCAAATCACCTCCAACTCAGCATGCGCTTGTACCTTCTATGGTACTTACTATCCAGTCATGAAAGTAAGACACACTGGCAAACGTATCGGGATAGCCCAAGGCACATGGCTCACCACCGTTGACAACACCAACCTGCACCTGATTGGCATCGACCAATGGACCGCCCGAGTCGTAGCTGCAGGCGCCTTTTCCACTTTTGGTGGATGTGCAAATATGTCCATTGCCAAGAAATTTAGAATTCTTTACTGATTTTGTGCACTCAGTGTAATTCAAGTACTCCAAGCTAACTTTATTCAGAGTGTTTATAGCATTACCCCACGCCTTTTGGCTGCCCCAACCGGTGAGCACTAAGTCATCGCCATCCTGCAGTGTATTGTTGGTAGCCAATTGCACTGCCGCGGTGTAGTTGTCAAACACAATTGGTTCAGTAAGGCGTACAAGCGCGATATCGTTGTGATACATTGGTGTATTGTAGAGGCAATGCACCTTGATGTCGTCCACCAAGTAAACGGCGCCTGGGTTCTGCCACTCCACAGTGCCAGTGATGATCTTCAGATATTTCTTGGGCCAATCCATGCAATGGCCAGCCGTTAAGATCCATTGCGGTGCGATAATAGAACCGCCACACACATGTTCGCCGAATGTGTTCTGTATGGAAGCCTGATAGGGGGCGACACCCTTTTCTATCGCATAGCCGCCAATGATGCGACCTTCAATGGAGTTGCTGTTCGTTACACGGCCAATATCACGCGCCGCACAACTTGTCCATAGCGCTAAAGCGCTCAGTAGAATAATTACGATTTTATACATTTCGTTCGCTTTAACTTTTATATGGCAATGTGTTTACCTTCGGTAGCTCAAAATAATTTGAATTTACACAGTGGGGTGCTTCCACTTTTATAGCATAAATTTGGCACGCATATTACTGCTGATAAGAGGTGACTGGTATTCGCGATACTGATATTAGATGGCGGAAGCATTCTTAGAGTGTTTTCGAATATTTTTCGGCGCTGCTTACGAGGGCGGCCCTTCATTATAGCCAATTCTCGAATGATAAAGCTAAACGCCAGTGATATGTTTGCTAAAATGATTAAGATCCGATGAAGTATAAGTAAATAATAAATCAGGCAATAATGGACAGTAATTTGATTAGTCATAACGCCTATAAATTAGTGGGTGATCAAGCATTTGTACGTTGGAAAACATTTAGTGTTGGTATGTAATGTTATTGCTGGTTGAACTTTGAATGAATTAAGGCAGCTATGACTAAATTTTAAATGGACACTAAATCATTTTCAAAATCAAATTTCAAGTAGCTATTATTTATATTTTTTTTTTGTGCTACCAAATATTTATATTCTTAAGAGTTGGTATTATTGCACGTACATATTTTATTGCTTGCAAAGCGAGAAACTTGAGGGATAGAAAACTTCAAGTAAATTTTTATTTCGTCTAGACTAGATCCTACCTCTACCCACATACATTTGTATGTTTGTATGATTATACATATACAGTTAAAATCATTTATCTAGTGCTCATAAATCGTTCAATTTTGGGTTTTTCTATATACAATATTTAGACTGAAGAAATCAAGACTGGGGTTCAATATACAATATCAAAACAAGCACGGGCATGTTGAGTTACTTATAGAGAGTGGTTTTCATAATTCGAGAGAGTACTTTACTTCTGAATTGCCTTCTCACTCCAACATGCTGACATTATTACCGCCGTTAATGCTCGTTTCCAAGTAAACGAAAATCTCTACTTTCTCATAATTATAACTGTCAACAGTGACGTGGGTACCAAGGCGAGAATGCGCAGACTGTCATTTGGGGACAGAAGGTACTTCGTCTTGTCCTCATTGACCACCATACCCAATCAACTTGTTTCCTTATCCAACTTGGAAAAGTCAGAACGGACTTAAGGGTTCTTGTTACCGCTGATGTGGATGTCATTGGTATACGCCACAAATTTCACGCTCTTGTAAAAATTGTTCCCGAGCATTTCATTTCTGCAGCTTATATTATCTTCACCAACATCACATTAAATAAATTACATGAAAGGGAGTAACATTTTTCATAATTCTAACGGAGCTGGTGGTATTGCTCAACGGCATTTTACATAGCCCGTATTATTTTCGCGAAGATACCAAATTCAGACATAGCGTCATATAGACAACTTCTTTTCGTGCTGTCGAAAGCGGCTTTGATTGCGCCTGTCGATCCTGTTCTCTCGAGTATTTTCCAAGATTTGGCGTATTGCGAATACCTGGGGTAGGGTGGATTTTCCAGGTCTAAAACCAAACTAATAAGGCTCAATCAGTTCGCTGATGGTTAGTTTCAGTCTTTCATGCTCGATAAGACCTTGTAACCTATGCTTAGAAGGCTGATCCCGCAGTAGTTTGTGCGCACGGCGGGGTCGCCTTTCTTGTGGGGTGGACAGAGCATACCTAAATTTCAGTCATCGGGTATGCGTTCCGCTGACTATATTTTGCATAAGAGTTGATGTATGTACCATACCAACTCTTCGCCACCGTACTTGAACAGCTCGGCTGCTGGCAGGCCGTCAACTCCAGCAGCTTTGTTATTTTTTAGTCGTTTAATCGCTATTGGCACATTGTCATGGTCAGGCGGTGGGACATCGACTCAATCGTCAACGACTAGTGGCTTGGGTTCGGCTTCTCCACTAATTTCTGTGCTGCTGCCATTCAATAGTTTTACGTAGGGTTTGGACAATAGAGTTGTCAAACTATCGATGGCACTATCGATAGTATCGATAGTTTCAATTTTTTTAGACTATCAATACTCATTGATAGTTTTTTCTTATACTATCAAAAATATCGATAGTTTAGTAGGACTATCGATCATCTCTCCCAGTTTTTTTGAAATTATACATACATACGTACATGAAATTTACGATTAACAATCCCGTTTTGTTTGTATAACTTGTGTTTGTTTTTGAACTTTCTAAAAAGAGAAGTATTTTGGCTAAGCAGTTACTTAATTTTGAATGATTATAACTTTTATAAGATAATATTTATTTCACTATGATCCTGTAAAAACAAAGCAACCTAACTGATTTAGCGCTATCGATAGTGCTATCGATAGTTTTGTTTTTTTCGAGACTATCGTGAATATTGATAG